CTGTAATCAATGTTACACCTGTAATCAATGTTACACCTGTAATCAATGTTACACCTGTAATCAATGTTACACCTATAATCAATGTTACACCTGTAATCAATGTTACACCTGTAATCAATGTTACACCTATAATCAATGTTACACCTATAATCAATGTTACACCTGTAATCAATGTTACACCTGTAATAATGCTTCACCCGTAATCAATGTTACACCTGTAATCAATGTTGCATCTGTAATCAGTGTTACACCTGTAATCAAAGTTACACCTATAATAAATGTAAGTTTAAGCCACGTATACAGACAATATACTACCTGTCTGAGTGAAACACCTGCTGGTTGTTTCAGACGTACTGAGACTTATTGTGGATCTTGGCAGTCGACTGGGGGAAATTGCAAAACAATCATATTCAACATAATCTGGTCCATTGTATTGCATCCTTCCTCGAATTCCTCTTTTCAAACATGATGCAGATTACTTGATATCCTCATTATGCGTTATCTCATTCACAGCAGAGCATAATGTGGCATTATGCATTAGACAGAAACTGGCTTGACATCTTAGCCTGATCACAGACATTTGACACCCCGCGAGTCCGTGCCCCCATGCAGCTCGATACATCACGTTCAGATAGATCACTGTTACTGACGTTCATCTATATGAAAAGCTTTCATAAGTTGTATTTTTCGTTAATCTGAACATTCAATAAAAACGGACAATTTCACTACGAAAAGCAAATCCCGAAAAACGAGGTCTCGTTATAGCCTGTACAGTGACACTGTAGATGAATGGTATGAAACGGCAGTGGACAAAGTCCATTTGACCCACCCACCCTCCCACCTTCCAACATACAACTCCAGCTGCAGCAGTCTAGAAACCCTGTAGAATGTTTCAGGGAGTATCCAGGTGGACTTCACATTGCACTGACAGGTGAACGGGGCAAACTGAAATATTCAGATTTTACGCAAAACTGTCAACACAGGGTAGAAACTTGACTTTGGTGTTTGGTGATATTTCTAGAGTCATCTTCCGACGTCTTAACACTATTTAAATATTGATTTTAAGGCCGCTTCATAGTCAGCAACTTTCTCTTATGGAAAGAAGACGCTCTGTGACAGACAGGTTTGTGGTCCGAAGAATTATTGAACAGTAGGAATTTACAGAACTTCTGAACTTTCAGAAAAGATGGAATGGAAGAGAAAGGTTGACAGTGCACTGTGTCCAGATATTTCAGAATGATACTTACCACTCACAATAGCTTACACTAACTGTTAATAGACTGTCATGTGTATGACGATATTCAAACAGACATCAATGTGTACATATCTACAGAAAAAACTCAAGTTATTCAAACTTACTCTGGGATACGTTTTTGTTGTCAGCGCAGAAATGGTCCTCTCACCTAATTAAACAGCAACTGTAATTTATATACATGTTTGCAACAAGTTCGTTGTCTGGTTTTATAACTTCGTGTGTAATTTATCTATGTGTATAGCGCCTCTGTATAGTGTATGGAAGGTAGCGTGCGCAAAACGAGTTGTACCCGGATTGACACCCCGCTTAAAGTGCGTGTGCAACGAGTGACCCTCGCATGTGCCACACGTGACACGGGGGTCGGGGCCAGGTGTGTTTGGCAAATAGATCAAATGAACAGTCAGAAATCGATGAAATTTCAATCTTGAGTTAATGAGCGATGAGTGGATGAGTTAATCAGACGATAGCCATAAGGTCATTGGTTCCTTGACATATACCCAGGAGCTCTTCCACGAGGGAAACATGGAACTCTATGGATAACACCTTCTTCTTGGTTGGTTATGGCGACGGTCCATGTAGATTCTTACACAGTCGTCAACCAGAAGCGGCTCCAGCCAGATGTTGAGAAGTATAGATACACAGGATGTTGTGACAAGATCAACAACAGCAGGTAATTGAAGACAAGCAGCACCATGGACGTAGAGTAACAACATCAAAAAGCAGCCAGCTGATTGGACACGTATCAGGCCATTGGTAGATAGAGTCAGTCACTTCAGTAGCTCTGTATGATCTCAAGGTTTGTGGATTTCTGTGGCATCCAAGAATTTTCTTTTTGTGAAGTTCTGATCTTTGGAAGAGGGGATTTTGACATAGTCAAACTATATTTGATGGGTGTACCCTCTATCCCCCATACATCCTGTGTTACCCACTAACCTCCACTTTCCCTGTGTTACCTGGTCTTGCCCTCCACCTCTATATCCACTGTTACCCCTCACCCCCCACTCTATATTCCTGTGTTACCTCTCTGGAACTCTATATTCCCTGCGTTACCTCTGCCCCTGCTCTATATTCCCTGTGTTACCCCTCTACCCCTACTCTATATTCCCTGTGTTCCTCTACCCCCTGATATTCCCTGGTAAGTTACCCTCACCCCCCACTCTATATTCCTGCGTTACCCTCTACCCCTACTCTATATTCCACAGGTTACCCTCTGTCTATATTCCCTGTGTTACCCTCTACCCCCTACTCTATATTCCTGTCCCTCTACCCTACTCTATATTCCCTGGTGTTACCCTCTGCCCTACTCTATATTCCCTGTTTTACCCTCTACCCCTCTACTCTATATTCCTGTGTTACCCTCTACCCCCCACTCTATATTCCTGCGTTACCCTCTACCCCTCTCTATATTCCTGTGTTTACCCTCTACCCCCTACTCTATATTCCCTGCGTTACCCTCACCCCCTACTCTATATTCCTGTGTTGCCCTCTACCCCCTACTCTATATTCCTGCGTTACCCTCTACCCTACTCTATATTCCCCTGTGTTACCCTCTACCCCCTTACTCTATATTCCCTGTGTTACCCTCTACCCCCTACTCTATATTCCCTGTGTTACCCTCTACCCCCTACTCTATATTCCCTGTGTTACCCTCTACCCCGTACTCTATATTCCCTGTGTTGCCCTCTACCCCCTACTCTATATTCCTGTGTTACCCTCTACCCCCCTACTCTATATTCCTGTGTTACCCTCTACCCCTACTCTACATTCCTGTGTTGCCCTCTACCCCTACTCTATATTCCTGTGTGACTCTCTACCCCCCTCTACTCTATATTCCTGTGTTACCCTCTCACCCCGCACCCTCTATATTCCCTGTGTTACCCTCTACCCCCTACTCTATATTCCTGTGTTACCCTCTACCCCCCTACTTTACATTCCCCCCTGTGTTACCCTCTACCCCCTCTACTCTATATTCCCTGTGTTACCCTCTACCCCCTACTCTATATTCCCTGTGTTACCCTCTACCCCGTACCCTCCATATACCCTGTGTTACCCTCTACCTCCTACTCCATATACCCTGAGTTACCCTCTACCATCCATATACCCTGTGTTACCCTCTACCCCGTACTCTATATACCCTGTGTTACCCTCTACCCCCTACTCCATATACCCTGTGTTACCCTCTACCCTCCATATACCCTGTGTTACCCTCTACCCCCTACTCTCTTAATACCCCGTGTTACCCTGTACCCCGTACCCTTCATATATCCTTTACCCTCTACCCCTGTCTGTCTTGTAAAGATGGAGTTTTCGCTAACTGTCAAATGGCCAGGCAAACCATCAATTCCTTATGCTGATTGGGTCTTAACAGTACTGATTAACATCCAGTTACACGTGTTATTATATGGAAAAGAATGGTTCTACCTACAAGTTTCTATGGCTGTGAAACCATGCCTACGTTATATGGCCAAATAATTGATTTGGTGGAACATACCCAACGATATTTCTCTAAATGTATCTAAGGGTTCAACAGACGTATGTCAACAGATTTTGTAGTGCCCTAGGTCTGTGGACAATGGTTGGATACATTGACAAGTGTAGATTATTATTCCTGGGAAGATGATGTAACAACGCTTGCAGTTCATAAACGAGAACGCTGTTCTGTGCATTCTTATCACTCACTGTTTATTTAAATATCAACACACGCAGTATTTGCCACACTCTGTTATGTACGGCACGAAAGTGTAATCTACTGAAATATGTAGTAACTTATGTGCAAACTGGTATTTTTCCGTCAAAGACAGTTTGAGGCAGAATAGTTGTAAGTTCTATCTTCTCTTGTGAAGAAGCTCAATGGAAATTGAGACTCTCCATTAGAGAGGATATGTCCAGATATGCTGTAATCCATCAAACACTGAGTCTACATAGACTTTACACTCTAATGTTTCTGTACCCAGAATATAAAGACCATATACAACTTGCTGTACTAGTCGGTTCTAAAGCCAAATTCACTAGTCGGTTCTAAAGCCAAATTCATTAGAGGGTAAAGTCTATGTACGCAGAATATAAAGACCATATACAACTTGCTGTACTCGTCGGTTCTAAAGCCAAATTCTCAAAGGAATGTATGCTTCGTAATAAGTACTGATATGACCATGATGCCAACATCATTTTACATTGTGAATCTGCAATGAGCCAAAGAAATAAATTTTATATGACACTACTTGACCTACTGGACGTAGAATTATATGTATTTATTCAAATGTTTGGTGATGAAGATGCCCTTGTACTTTTTTGTGGTGCAAAACTTCACATCCCTGGCCTTGATGAAACAGCATGGCAAACCATCGTACTACATTTCTCGAACTATATCTATTTTTTAAAGAATTCTTTGATTGTAAATATCCGTGCTTTGTAAATATCATATATACATATATGTAACTGACTGATGTTATGTTTTTGTAATCTTTGAATATTTTTTGGAGGAAATAAAGACATTCATCCATCCATCCATCCATCCATCCATCCATCCATCCATCCATCCATCCATCCATCCATCCATCCATCCATCCATCCATCCATCCATTCATTCATTCATTCATTCATTCATTCATTCATTCATTCATACCATGTTGTATCACACATCAACTCAAGATCCCCAAAGTCTCTCGTTATCTGATCCCTGTACAACACGTACCCTACACAGTACAAGGGCTCCACCCCATCCAGACCTGACGACACAACCAACTGGCGCTGCAAACAAAGTTTATTTAAATGTAAGTAATACATGACAATAGAGACAAGGCTGATGTCCATCTCTCCCAGTAATACATGACAATAGAGGCAAGGCTGATGTCCATCTCTCCCAGTAATACATGACAATAGAGGCAAGGCTGATGTCCATCCCTCCCAGTAATATTTGACAATAGAGGCAAAGGTAAACGATGTCCAGCCATCCCAGTCCTCCTCCCGACACCGGGACATAACGACTAGTACTGATGCCATGTACTCGATCACACCCCATCAACACATACAACCTGGTCCCAACATATTCCACCATTCATGTTTTCATAGCACATGTCTGTGGTACGGTGTGTTCTTGTTTAGCTCGTCTAGCTCGTTTAGTCCTTTTTACCTGAACTAAAGCCCCGGTAGGCTGCTGATGATCCACTGCCTCGCTCAAACTCTGAAACATGACAGTGAGGTATCACAATAACATGTAAAACAAACAATATATTACAGTTCAAATATACTCTCACGTTAACATCCAGTGAAATTGATTCTTTTCTTCAGTGACCAGTGAGGGAGTGGGTTGACCTTTTTGAAGTATATGATCATGTTTTAACCCCACCTACAGCATAGAATGTGTGCAGCTGTTCACATTGTACTGAGCCGTGATCAGCCTTTACAAGAACATTCAGTGCGCAGAACTACGTCCGTTATGTCGCCATGTGAAGTATCCGAGTTGGTGGACTTCATATCAATAACTGAGCCGCTTGAAGCTCACTCCGCGGATACAGGATGCACAGCACATTCTCCACATATATGTGCAGCTTCATCTCTTCAGATGTAATCTCAACAAGTAGCTCCAGAGAAGCTACGTCCTACATGTGACATGGTGGAATGTTGCAGATAGCTTGTAATGAGAGAACTGTGTATATCACAAACATGTTCAGTTAACAGTGAGCATTAAGTTGGTTAATATTGTTATAGGGACTAATTCAGGACAGCCATCGTCCAAATATTTAAAAAGTCCAAAACTATGTACTCAAGACATGTGAGACTTCATTGTAATATATATATGACGCTAAGCTGTATTTTTAATCACTACTGTACATCCTTATCACTACCGCATTGTAAATTGACTTGTCAGCCCATTCATTATTGTATAAGACATTTATAACCTTTATTGGTAATCCCCCTTGGCCGTGTCTGCCATCACATCAACTGGTCAAGGAAGTGCTATTGTTTTCTGTCTGTCCATTGATGAGTCGTCGCCTGTCCATTGTTGTCAAAAACTGTATATATACTTAGTATGCTCACATGTAGACAGCGAAAGAGTACGAGTCCGGTATTCTGACTGTCTGTAGGGACGACCACGAGCAGGAGAATGCCGCTCGTAGGAAACGCCCTGGGGTTGAGCAGGTACTCCGCTCACCTTATGTATGTCTTGTGTATTTGTTTGTCATGTAACTAAAGAAGTTTGAGCTCAACAATGCCTTCGTCTTCATCAACGAACATTTCATCTTAATTATGAGCTAATTCCCCAGTCGACACGCGTATACCACGCGTTGACAATATATTCGGGGTTACAGTGTCTATGGTTTCAAAGGACATCACTCAAATCTGAAGCTCAAATGGCCCTTAGGTTTGTACATTGATTATATCGATTGGGTAGACAGGCTGACGGACGGACGGTGAACGTGCTTGGAGAAGTGCAAAAAATACTTCATAAAAATATGTCATTCTTGTTTAAAATGGGTTCACCTGCTGAAAGTCATGACAGTAAATCAGAGATAAGCAATAAGCCAGGGGACTTACTGCAGTTCGCCATGTGTAGCTGGTCTAGTGTTTACCTGTCAAGTTGATGTCGTCGCTGTCGTGTGTGGACTCCGTCAGGTGGGTGTATTCATTGTCCAGGCGTCGTGCAGTGGCTTTACAACAACCGCAGGCTTTGTTGCAGCACTTCAGCACCCACAGTTCGAATCCCCGGATGACGTACACCAGTGCCAGCGACACCAACACCAGTATTGCCACCACGACGACGATGACGGGGATCAGCCACGCCAAGGTCGCCTTGTTTGTGTCCCATGCTTCCCCTAAAACTTTCTGGTCAAAGAATCCACGCGAAGTCGTTGTGGAGTTGACGATGTTCTGTGTCGTGCTGTTGACTATGCTCTCTGTCGTTGCTGAAGTTGTAGTTTCCAACAGAGTCACTGCAGGTTCAAATGTGCTCGTAACGACGACGTCAGCGGCAGTTGTTGTGTTATCTCCTGCCATAGCGGTATGAGCGTTTCTCTACAGAGAGTTAATCTAGCACATTATTGTCCACTCCTGCAACAGAACCAAGTACAGAGGGTTAATCTAGCACATTATTGTCCACTCCTGCAACAGAACCAAGTACAGAGGGTTAATCTAGCACATTATTGTCCACTCCTGCAACAGAACCAAGTACAGAGGGTTAATGTAGCACATTATTGTCCACTCCTGCAACAGAACCAAGTACAGAGGGTTAATCTAGCACATTATTGTCCACTCCTGCAACAGAACCAAGTACAGAAGGTAAATCTAGCACATTATTGTCCGCTCCTGCAACAGAAGCAAGTACAGAGGGTTAATGTAGCACATTATTGTCCACTCCTGCTACAGAACCAAGTACAGAGGGTTAATCTAGCACATTATTGTCCGCTCCTGCAACAGAACCAAGTACAGAGGGTAAATCTAGCACATTATTGTCCGCTCCTGCAACAGAACCAAGTACAGAGGGTTAATCTAGCACATTATTGTCCACTCCTGATACAGAACCAAGTACAGAGGGTTAATCTAGCACATTATTGTCCACTCCTGCTACAGAACCAAGTACAGAGGGTTAATGTAGCACATTATTGTCCACTCCTGCAACAGAACCAAGTACAGAGGGTTAATCTAGCACATTAGTGTCCACTCCTGCAACAGAACCAAGTACAGAGGGTTAATGTAGCACATTATTGTCCGCTCCTGCAACAGAACCAAGTACAGAGGGTTAATGTAGCACATTATTGTCCGCTCCTGCAACAGAAGCAAGTACAGAGGGTTAATGTAGCACATTATTGTCCGCTCCTGCAACAGAACCAAGTACAGAGGGTTAATGTAGCACATTATTGTCCGCTCCTGCAACAGAACCAACTACAGAGGGTTAATCTAGCACATTATTGTCCGCTCTTGCAACAGAACCAAGTACAGAGGGTTAATCTAGCACATTATTGTCCACTCCTGCAACAGAACCAAGTACAGAGGGTTAATCTAGCACATTATTGACTGCTCCTGCAACAGAACCAAGTACAGAGGGTTAATCTAGCACATTATTGTCCGCTCCTGCAACAGAACCAAGTACAGAGGGTTAATCTAGCACATTATTGTCCACTCCTGCAACAGAACCAAGTACAGAGGGTTAATCTAGCACATTATTGTCCACTCCTGCAACAGAGCCAACTACAGAGGGTTAATCTAGCACATTATTGTCCACTCCTGCAACAGAACCAAGTACAACGTTCGTAACTCAACATTTAAAATAAAAACATTATGTTAGTCGTGAAATGAAGTTGAGTTCAGTACCGTTGTTACCGTACACGTCCACATTCAAAGTAAAATGCATTCTGTTAACACTGGTAAGTAATTCTCACCAACGTTTAGAGTAAAATGATATCTTGAACTCCACGGAAACTGAAGTGCTCTTAAAACTTAAACCTCACGTACGAAGTTTTTCCTCACTTACCGCTCTCAGCTCTTACACTGTATGTAATGGGAATATCCTCATGATGATGATGCATGGAATCGTTAATATAGAAACAGATGTAGCCTTCTTCGCGACACCGGAAACTCACTTGATATTCATCACTTGGGTCACAAACACGGGAAATTCCATACTTCACGACAATATTAATATGTTTCATTGTCAGATATTTCTACCATAAACTAACACATGCATCAAGCAGATCTCCAGATGTTCTGCACCACTCCTGCTGGTGGTTAGGTATCACCACTAGCCTGGAATATATGGGTCCTACGAGCTACGGCTGTCATATAATGGACTAAACAGATGGAGTGATTGGGTGGTCAGACTTGGTGCACGGATTAAATTGTCGTTGTTAGCTCTTAATGTCAATCACTTGTCATATCGATCCGTGGTACTACCAATCTCTCGTAGAACCATTCAAAGCAGTACTGCAGCTGAAATGGTTTATTCACTCACTCACCCTCTTCGCGAACACCCGTGATGTATTCGTACAACTACATTCATTCAGAGGAAACCGTATCCGCATATTATTGAGAACAATTTGGATTACATTTTATATCCTATAGTCATAGTCCCGGTATCAGGAATATTGTTAAACTGTCAACAAAACAAACTTTCGTTTTTTATACCCATGTATTATGACGTATTATACCCATGTATTATGACGTATTATACCCATGTATTATGACGTATTATACCCATGTATTATGACGTATTATACCCATGTATTATGACGTATTATACCCATGTATTATGACGTATTATACCCATGTATTATGACGTATTATACCCATGTATTATGAAGGTGTCTTCGCCTGACACTGACACTTGGGAGCGAGAGTAGTTCAACATGGCCGTATCACCACCATTTTGTGACCTCACGATAACCCTGTCACGTGATGTTGTTTTGTCTTGGAGGCAGTTGTCGTTTCCCACAGTTGTTAATGGTCTTATCATCAAACACTTTCGGCTTTTATGTAGATTTGTTTTATTGTCATTCCAATTACTCGAGTAAGTGAGTGAGTGTGTATCACCTATTACTACTGCTGACGGGGCCGTTGTCGGCACGGGTACAACAGAAATGTACCCTAAATACGAGACCATATTCTGCAATCCCAAACCAAATTTGTACCCAAACCGTATATAGTTGTAACTGGCTGCGAGCGGTCCTGTGCACTAGTCCTTACTGTGTATGCTCTTGTCTTATATAACACGATCCAATGCATCTAATACAACAGTATGACAGTTCCGATCAGGAAAACGTCACAACGCAGAATGGAATCGTGCCGGGGAACGTTTCAGTATTCTGATTCTGGCTGGGGTACGTTTCTGGGTACACATCTGTAACACCCGTGCCGACACCCTTATACAATACAGACACACTGGAACATGAAACACTGAAATATGTACAGTGTGTGTACACCACATGAATTATGTCACATGAAACAGTGTCCGTGTTATATACCATACAGACACACTGGAATATGTACAGTGTATGTACACCACATGAATTATGTCACATGAAACAGTGTCCGTGTTATATACCATACAGACACACTGGAATATGTACAGTGTGTGTACACCACATGAATTATGTCACATGAAACAGTGTCCGTGTTATATACCATACAGACACACTGAAATATGTACAGTGTGTGTACACCACATGAATTATGTCACATGAAACAGTGTCCGTGTTATATACCATACAGACACACTGGAATATGTACAGTGTGAGTACACCACATGAATTATGTCACATGAAACAGTGTCCGTGTTATATACCATACAGACACACTGGAATATGTACAGTGTGTGTACACCACATGAATTATGTCACATGAATTAGTGTCCGTGTTATATACAATACAGAAACACTGAAATATGTACAGTGTGTGTACACCACATGAATTATGTCACATGAAACAGTGTCCGTGTTATATACCACACAGACACACTGAAATATGTACAGTGTGTGTACACCACATGAATTATGTCACATGAAACAGTGTCCGTGTTATATACAATACAGAAACACTGAAATATGTACAGTGTGTGTACACCACATGAATTATGTCACATGAAACAGTGTCCGTGTTATATACCATACAGACACACTGAAATATGTACAGTGTGTACACACCACATGAATTATGTCACATGAAACAGTGTCCGTGTTATATACCATACAGACACACTGAAATATGTACAGTGTGTGTACACCACATGAATTATGTCACATGAAACAGTGTCCGTGTTATATACCATACAGACACACTGAAATATGTACAGTGTGTGTACACCACATGAATTATGTCACATGAAACAGTGTCCGTGTTATATACCATACAGACACACTGAAATATGTACAGTGTGTGTACACCACATGAATTATGTCACATGTGTCCGTGTTATATACCATACAGATACACTGAAATATTTACAGTGTGTGTACACCACATGAATTATGTCACGTGAAACAGTGTCCGTGTTATATACCATACAGATACACTGAAATATGTACAGTGTGTGTACACCACATGAATTATGTCACATGAAACAGTGTCCGTGTTATATACCATACAGACACACTGAAATATGTACAGTGTGTGTACACCACATGAATTATGTCACATGAAACAGTGTCCGTGTTATATACCATACAGACACACTGAAATATGTACAGTGTGTGTACACACATGAATTATGTCACATGAAACAGTGTCCGTGTTATATACCATACAGACACACTGAAATATGTACAGTGTGTGTACACCACATGAATTATGTCACATGAAACAGTGTCCGTGTTATATACCATACAGACACACTGGAATATGTACAGTGTGTGTACACCACATGAATTATGTCACATGAAACAGTGTCCGTGTTATATACCATACAGACACACTGAAATATGTACAGTGTGTGTACACCACATGAATTATGTCACATGAAACAGTGTCCGTGTTATATACCATACAGACACACTGGAATATGTACAGTGTGTGTACACCACATGAATTATGTCACATGAAACAGTGTCCGTGTTATATACCATACAGACACACTGGAATATGTACAGTGTGTGTACACCACATGAATTATGTCACATGAAACAGTGTCCGTGTTATATACCATACAGAAACACTTGAATATGTACAGTGTGTGTACACCACATGAATTATGTCACATGAAACAGTGTCCGTGTTATATACCATACAGACACACTGGAATATGTACAGTGTGTGTACACCACATGAATTATGTCACATGAAACAGTGTCCGTGTTATATACCATACAGATACACTGAAATATTTACAGTGTGTGTACACCACATGAATTATGTCACGTGAAACAGTGTCCGTGTTACATACCATACAGATACACTGAAATATGTACAGTGTGTGTACACCACATGAATTATGTCACATGAAACAGTGTCCGTGTTATATACCATACAGAAACACTGAAATATGTAAAGTGTGTATACCACATGAATTATGTCACATGAAACAGTGTCCGTGTTATATACCATACAGAAACACTGAAATATGTACAGTGTGTGTACACCACATCCTTTAACCAAGGCTTGCTGAGAACAAGGGTCTCTCTGTCTCCCGACGTGGCAACTATATGTCGAGTTTCGATATTTCAAAAGTCTCAAGACAGGAAATAAGATTACACTTGAAACAGACGCTACCAAGTGCGTAATCGAGGGTGTTTACTCACCATATACGTGAAAATAAGAATATTGGACAAAATCATGGAAATTCCATCGGTCCTGGCCCGTATCTGGCAGATGAAACTGATAGCTCAACACGTTGCACCCACCGAGCTTCCTTTCCCATGCGGGACGTCGCCAGGGGCCGTATCATAACCTTAGGATTAATTTCGAAATTTGAAGGAGTGTTTGAAAGTAATCAGATTTCTCAGAGTTAGGACAAATATATCTCTCTGGCCTGGTTGGTGTGTCGATCGTTGGATGCTGTGTGATCAATGGCAGAAGCTGTCTTTCTGCGACTTTAATTGACATATCGTTTATGAGATGACCTTAAACAGAGCCATGTGGCCTCTGGTCCTGTTTCCCAAACTTGACAAATTTTGTCATGATTCAAAATCTACACTGGGCAGTTTGTGGTTAATTGAAAGAGATTTTGTGTCTGTAAAAAAATAATCTTTTATGTTTTAGCCATTGTTCAATGTGATTGATCTCCATCAACATTCCCTTGCCTACAAATATGTATATTCCTGTTTAATTGCTACGTATGGCCGTAAAGATGATTCTAACTTTTTCATCTAAACGAAAATGAAAAAAACATGCACTAACGTCCATACAATTCAATAGAAGCGACAAACCGATTCCACTTCCACCATAAACCACTGCTATAAAGAGAGTGGACTGTACACCGCCGACTGCGTTACGAGCAGGTGTTTAAGAATCACTGTCAAACAGTGATGACACCAGGTGTTAGCAAGTAGGTGTCCCCCGATGGTACCCGTCATAGACACATGTAAAGGCTAATCAATTGTTCAAGTTACATCGAAATATCACTTTGTCACTTATCCGTCAAGTTTGTCCTCCAATTTTTTAAAAGAAATCGTCACTGAGGCCTTGAATATTCTAACTTTCATCGAACAACTTTTGAACAAGTGTTATATGCCCCTTGAAATCTCGATAGAGAGAGCATGATATAGTGTACCTCAAAACACCAAGAGAGCATGATATAGTGTACCTCAAAACACCAAGAGAGCATGATATAGTGTACCTCAAAACACCAAGAGAGCATGATATAGTGTACCTCAAAACACCAAGAGAGCATGATATAGTGTACCTCAAAACACCAAGAGAGCATGATATAGTGTACCTAAAAACACCAAGAAACAGACCGACATAAACGGAAGGGTGACTATTGGAAACTGTAAATCGTCCCTCCTGCCATACATCCTAGTGGAGAGTTTGTACAAACCTTACAATTTGTCTACATAAAACATTGTTTGTCAGACCTCAAAGCCGTTATGGGTGTACTAGTAGATAACCACAGATCATGTTCGGCGCGTGCAGCTGTTGTCCCAGCACAGGTAGATAGCAGGTGTCAGGTAGAGTCAGGCTGATTGGTTTTTACACCTGAAGCGTTGAAACCCCAGCTGGGACAATTACAATGACAGCTATCTTTACCTGGAAGAATACATAGACAGCAGCTCCGCGAGGTGCACACAGTATGTTACCCCGTTAGCTTCCATCTGTATACGTCTTGGTCAGACCAACAGCGTATAGGTGATCTACAAGGGCAGCACAATGGGTACCGACTGATGTCACGTCTTGGTCAGACCAACAGTGTATAGGTGATCTACAAGGGCAGCACAATGGGTACCGACTGATGTCACGTCTTGGTCAGACCAACAGTGTATAGGTGATCTACAAGGGCAGCACAATGGGTACCGACTGATGTCACGTCTTGGTCAGACCAACAGTGTATAGGTGATCTACAAGGGCAGCACAATGGGTACCGACTGATGGGGTCAGCAACAGTGTATGGTGATCTACCGACTGATGTCACGTCTTGGTCAGACCAACAGTGTATAGGTGATCTACAAGGGCAGCACAATGGGTACCGACTGATGTCACGTCTTGGTCAGACCAACAGTGTATAGGTGATCTACAGGGGCAGCACAATGGGTACCGACTGATGTCACAGTCCTCTCTCTGAAAGGCTGTTTGTAACTGACGAAACATTGTACGTATTTGTAATACCTGATGTAAGAACTTGATGTAGTGAGTGAGTGAATTCTTTTTAACACACCTCAGCAGTATTCCGGCTACTGAAGGATAATGGCCTCAGCCACGTGATGACACATAGTGATGACACCCAATAATAATATATACTTCCCATCCAAAGTTCCGATTCACTTAAAGCACTCACTATATATATATATATATGGTTACATCGAAGATTGACTTCACCACTAACTTGGGGGAACCAACTGCAAACCTTATGCAGGTGAATTGCACGAGGATCATGCATCATCAAATTGCTGAAAGGCCTGTGCACATATCGTGCATGTGAACAGCTGCCTTTTGGTGTAAAGTGTTGTTACTACCCATAACAAATTTAGACTCACTCGTGTAAATGTAGCCACTTACCTAAGTCAACTGTTCTACACTAGATTTTGCAAAATATTCCATACTGTTTAAAACTACTGTTTACCCACGAACTGATGTATTGTAAACAAAGTTGTAACGTTGACAAGACTATTGTCATGAGTTTAATAATGATGAAAGTCAAGTGAAAATTGTCAAATTCTTAACGCAACTGTATATTAAAACGCATGTTGACATGCCCGATGTTTGCACCTGCTTTTCAGCAATCTGATGCATGACCCTCTTGCAATTCATCTGTATAAGGTTTGGAGTTGGTTCCCCCAAGTTAGTGAGGTTCATCTGTATAAGGTTTGCAGTTGGTTCCCCCAAGTTAGTGAAGTTCATCTGTATAAGGTTTGCAGTTGGTTCCCCCAAGTTAGTGAAGTTCATCTGTATAAGGTTTGCAGTTGGTTCCCCCAAGTTAGTGAAGTTCATCTGTGATGTAAGGACATATACATAACATACAGTGAGTGTTTTAAGTGAGTCTAAACTTTTGATGGGAGGTATATGATGACACACGGTTATGACAAGCAATGGTAACACAGCGATGTCCAGCGTGACGTCCAAGGTTGACGTCGATATCGCTATTCATACTGGTCAGTATATATAAGCCCACAATGATGCTACATGTCCTGGATATAGTACCAAGCTGTCCTAGCTTTCCTTTTCCTAATGTATGTTACGAAATGAAGGAATATCAATACTGAATAAATATCTTTAAAATATTAAAAAATAAATTCTAAACAATACATTCCAAAGCAATATCTCTAATCAAAAAGGCCTTTGTTCACAAACCAACCTGTGTGCGTGCAGCCGGTGTCTAGATGTGCTTCAGGTAAAGCACGGAAATATATACATATCTATGAAGCCCACCCTTCGGTATGTATTGTGTCGGAGAAATAATTGTTATGGGTTGTGTCGAACCGTGACATTTTATCCCCTTCTTGTACCTATAACTCATTTGTTCTGTTGAAGTGATCTCCCTTGTAAACAACTGCTAGAAGCGCTCGTACAATCCCAGAACCACCCTTCCTTGTTGACGTTTAGTGCGATAACAATAAATGATGAATATTTATTAGTGTTTTAATAAGTACATGTCAATACAGTCATGTGAGGCTGTTAGTCTAGGTCAGTGTTTTTGTACTTCATGTTGACAGTTTATATTCCCATCTCTTGTGTCTGTCGTGGACATCTCTTGTGTCTGTCGTGGACATCTCTTGTGTCTGTCGTGGACATCTCCTGTGTCTGTCGTGGACATCTCTTGTGTCTGTCGTGGACATGTCCTGTGTCTGTCGTGGACATGTCTTGTGTCTGTCGTGGACATCTCTTGTGTCTGTCGTGGACATCTCTTGTGTCTGTCGTGGACATCTCCTGTGTCTGTCGTGGACATCTCTTGTGTCTGTCGTGGACATGTCCTGTGTCTGTCGTGGACATCTCTTGTGTCTGTCGTGGACATCTCCTGTGTCTGTCGTGGACATCTCTTGTGTCTGTCGTGGACATCTCCTGTGTCTGTCGTGGACATGTCCTGTGCCTGTCGTGGACATGTCTTGTGTCTGTCGTGGACATCTCCTGTGTCTGTCGTGGACATCTCCTGTGTCTGTCGTGGACATCTCTTGTGTCTGTCGTGGACATCTCTTGTGTCTGTCGTGGACATCTCTTGTGTCTGTCGTGGACATCTCCTGTGTCTGTCGTGGACATCTGTGTCTGTCGTGGACATGTCTTGTGTCTGTCGTGGACATGTCCTGTGTCTGTCGTGGACATCTCTTGTGTCTGTCGTGGACATCTCTTGTGTCTGTCGTGGACATCTCTTGTGTCTGTCGTGGACATGTCTTGTGTCTGTCGTGGACATCTCTTGTGTCTGTCGTGGACATGTCCTGTGTCTGTCGTGGACATGTCCTGTGTCTGTCGTGGACATCTCCTGTGTCTGTCGTGGACATCTCCTGTGTCTGTCGTGGACATGTCTTGTGTCTGTCGTGGACATGTCTTGTGTCTGTCGTGGACATCTCCTGTGTCTGTCGTGGACATCTCCTGTGTCTGTCGTGGACATCTCCTGTGTCTGTCGTGGACATCTCCTGTGTCTGTCGTGGACATGTCCTGTGTCTGTCGTGGACATGTCTTGTGTCTGTCGTGGACATCTCCTGTGTCTGTCGTGGACATCTCCTGTGTCTGTCGTGGACATCTCTTGTGTCTGTCATCTGGACATCTCTTGTGTCTGTCGTGGACATCTCTTGTGTCTGTCGTGGACATCTCTTGTGTCTGTCGTGGACATCTCCTGTGTCTGTCGTGGACATCTCCTGTGTCTGTCGTGGACATGTCTTGTGTCTGTCGTGGACATGTCCTGTGTCTGTCGTGGACATCTCTTGTGTCTGTCGTGGACATCTCTTGTGTCTGTCGTGGACATCTCTTGTGTCTGTCGTGGACATGTCTTGTGTCTGTCGTGGACATCTCTTGTGTCTGTCGTGGACATGTCCTGTGTCTGTCGTGGACATCTCCTGTGTCTGTCGTGGACATCTCCTGTGTCTGTCGTGGACATCTCCTGTGTCTGTCGTGGACATGTCTTGTGTCTGTCGTGGACATGTCTTGTGTCTGTCGTGGACATCTCCTGTGTCTGTCGTGGACATCTCCTGTGTCTGTCGTGGACATCTCCTGTGTCTGTCGTGGACATGTCTTGTGTCTGTCGTGGACATGTCTTGTGTCTGTCGTGGACATGTC